ATCAGTACCTGCTTCCCAAGGGCGATGTAAAAGTTACATGAGATATGTAGATAGAGCAGCTGGGTCAGGCTGCTGAGCTGATGTTTGTTACACGATTTCTCCAGTCCCAGCTATATTCCAGACACTGTTCTAGGTGCTGGGGACAAGTAGACAGTAGACAAAAATTCCTGGCCTCATGGAGCCTCATTCTAGTGGGTGAGAACTCTGAATGGCAATAGTGAATCTAGGATGTGTTGGTGGGGCTGGCGGGGGATGCGGTGGTCAGGGAGGGCTTCTCTGAGGAAGTTTGAAGGGCAGGAGGGAGTGATCCCTGTGGGTGTTAGTGGAAGACTGTTCCAGGTAGAGGAAGAACAAGTGGGGAGACTGTTTGCATGAGGGAGGGCAAGAGGGGATGACATCTGATCACACAGCCCTGTGAAGACTCGGGGTATGCTCTGGGTGGGCCAGGGAGCCCCTGGGGAGTCCTCTGAGATTTAACCCATGGTGAGGGGATGTGTGGGTTACTGTGACTCCCTTTGTCCACTCAGCAGACCTTTACTGAGGGCCTGCTGCGGGGTCATGACCGGGTTAGGGATGTGGACGAAATGAATAAGACAGACCCAAACCCTGCCCACTGAAGCTTTTATTCCAAGGCAGAGACACAGTAAAAAGTGAATACACATAGAAATGCACAAGTCCACAGTGCATCAGGGGCCGGGTGGAAACCAAAGGGGTGCAGAGATGGAGAATAGTCTAGGGGCATCTATCAGGTAAAGGGGAGGGGGCTTCTCTGAGGAGGTGATATTGAACTTGGGCTTTGGGTGTTGAGAAGTCAGCCAGTTGGGAGTAAATGTTCCAGGCAGAGGGGACAGCAAGTTTAAATACCTAGAGGTGGAAAAGACACTCAGCAGGGAGAGCAGGGGGCCAGCCTCTCATGTGCATTGAGGTCAGGGCACCTGAGGGCTGTGGTTAGGAGGTGGCAGCCCTGGCCTTGCCAGGGGCCACCGGTGACTGTGTGACTGTGTGACTAAATGGGCCTCTGGCCTGCTTTTAGCCTGGAACCACTTCCTTTGGCCCCACCAGCTCCCTCCCTGAGTCACCACCTAGTTACCAGCAGGGCAAGGACAGGGGATTAGGCACTTCAGGACCTGTGGGAATGGAGGTTCTGCCTCATGCAGAGGGAGGGGTAGAGAGGGCTGGGCTGAAGGTACAAGGGGCTGTTTGATGTTCCAGTTTCATTGACTGAATTGTACACACAGTATGCAGGGCAAGGTTCCCACACACCAGTCCTGAGGGTTGAAATCTTTTCCCTCATTTTACAAATGAAGAAACTGATACTCAGAGAGGTGGATTCACTTTCTCAAGGTCACACAGCAAGTAAGCAGAGCCAGGAATTGAATGTAAAGCCTTGTCTGTATAAGTCTTCCTTCCCTTGCATTCTCCTATCTCCAGAGCAGCTGCACTTTCCTCTGAGGGCAAATCAGGTTAAGGGGACTTGCTCCCACAGCCCAAATATTTATTTATTTTCCTTAAAAACTTATATTTCAGTTTCCACATGCTAGATCCTGTTCTAAGCATTTTGCAAATATTAACTCATATAATCCCACAACAACCCCATGGAGATAGGTACTCTTAGTGTCCATATTTTATAGATGAGAAAAACACAGAGAGGTGAAGCAACTTGCCCAAGGTCACACAGCTAGGAAGTGGCAGAGCTGGGATCTGAACCCTGGCAGTTGGGATCCAGAGCTTCTGCTCTTAGCTGCTATACCTACCGCTTCTGGCAGCCTGGCCTTCAGGCATGACGGAGCCTGTGTGGTGAGGGGATATTCTGGCTGAGGCCTGGACTCTTGGGTCCAGACTGGCCAGCACAACCTCCCCCTTCCTCCTCACAGCGGCGGCCTCAGAGCACCCCGCCCTTGGCAGTTGAGAGTCTCCCCACCCCTGGCCCAGGTGTTGTCTGAGCTGTGGGAAGGAATGTCCAGCTCTGGGCTGTGGAATGCCCTAAACCAAGGCAGGAAGCGGGAGGTGGGAGAGCAGGCGGGCGGGCAGATAAGATGTGGAGGGTGGAGGGGCAGAGCAGGAAGGCCCAGCCCCGTGGAGTCGGGGGTGGCCTCCTTGGGGGCTGGGAGAGCAGAGACCTAAGGCCCCGCAGGTGAAGAGTTTCCTGACAGTCCTTCACAGCTGCTGAACTTGGGCAGGAGGGGCGGCCTCTGAAGACATGGCTCCTCTTTCTTGGGACCCCACGTGACCCGTACTACTTGGTGCGGAGGAGATTCCAAAATTGGGCAGGAGACACCCTTTCAACTCTGATAGTGCAAGAATCTTGAGCTGCTGTGATTAAAAATTCTGGAATATTCTGAAATACCACTGTTCTGACATTTTAGATTTTGATTTAGCCTAACCCTACAAGGCAACTCTGTGTCCTTTCTCACTCTAACCTCTGAGGAGGAGGAGTGGGGGTCCCTTCCTGGAGACAGATAAGCCTTCAGTGAGGAGGATCCTTGAGCCAGTCTATGGAATGGTCCCTGTCCCCTAAGAGCTATATAGTTAAGACAGCAGAGGTGGTACCTGCTCCTGCCTTGCTGACCTTGGGCATGTCACTTACTTTCTCTGGCCTTTGTCTCTCCATCTGTGCATAGGTGCCCTCTCTGGGTTGGCCCAGCTTAGGCATTCTGAAATCTGCTAGGCACTGTCTACCCCCAGGTAGGGATGGCCAGGCAGGAGCCAGAGGGTGTCTGTTGGTCATGGAAAGAATGTGAGGGCAGGAGGCGCAGTGGGTGGGGTCCCTGGGCTTGGCAGTGAGCAGAGGGCAACATGAGATCATGGTGTCTGGGCCTCCTGGTCCAGCACTTCTGGGGATGGGATCCCCTCCAGGCCATCCCTCAGGTCAGGCCCCCCCCCCCCGTGGGATCCAGGCTCAAAGAGTCCGGCTGCCACTGTCCCTCTCACCCCCCACTCTGCCCACACCCCCCACTGGGCAAAGGGAATGAACTCAGGGCCCAGAGAGATGGGCACTGGTCCAGGCCTCATAAAGTGAGTCCAAGGCAGGCACTGAGCCCAGGGTCCTGCTTGGGGATTGGGGTGGAGGGGGCCTGTCTTTACTCCTTCACTATGCTGGGGGACCAGAGAAAGGGACATGGAGAGGGGGCCATGCCCTGAGTCTGTGCACCTGAGTGTGGCTGACCCTTTGCACACTCCCCCAGGGCAACAGGTGGGCAGCAGGGGACGTAACCTTCTTCCCCCACAGGCCCCACTCCAGCTCAGATGCTAAACCTCCTCAGTGGGTGGGCAGGCAGCCTCTCCACCCTTCTCCCAGCTCAGGACACAGGCTGGGAAGGGACTGGGGTCACTGAGTCTCCACAGGAATGCACCACAGGGAACAGTGCCTGGCAGAGGCCTCTTCCCCTGACCTGGTAGAGAAGGAGCCCTCACACCTCTGAATCATTCATCCTATCTCTCTGTCTGTCTCTGCATCACACACACGAACACACACTGAGACATACTGACCCACTCAGGCACACGCTGCAGTATGAATCCACACAACTGCCTCCTCACCCAGGCCCCGCACAGGACTTTTCTCTCTTCCCCTTTCCACTGTGAGGCTGCCTGAAAGTGACAGGAAAGACCCTTTCTCCTCCCCATTGTTCACTGGATCCTAGGCTGGGGTCCAGAGGCCTTTGTGGGGAAGGGCCCACAGCTGGCTGTGCATTTTCCCAACCCCTTCTGGCCCCAGTGAGCCCCCACCCTGCAGGTCCCCAGTCCACCCCGGCTTTGGAGTCTGTGGGAACCAGACAGTTGGGGCTGTCCAGCCGGGCTTGCTTCCTCCCAGGCCCCAGGGGACCTGCTGAGGGAGGAGGCAGCCGCAGAGACTGAAGTCAGCATGGCTGCCTGCCCAGCAGAAGGCCTCGGAGGGGACTGGGCTGCCTGCCTAACGAAGGGGTCTCCAGCCCCTGGATGTCACCTCTTGGGGCATTAGGCCCTCTAGGCCCCTCCACCAAAGGCCAGAAAGGGGGTTCCCCCAGCACCCTTGGCCCCTCTCTTCCTATACCCATGATCCAGATGGGCGGACTGAGGCTCTGGAAGTAAGCCATTTGCCTCAACAACCATGGTTTTGGGGGTGTGTGAGGACAGTGAGGCTTCAGGTCCCCGAGTCTGTTCCTCTGGTGGGGGCCACAAGAGCACCCATATCTCCTGCTTCCACCCAAGGGGGCAGCTAGAGAAGGCCAAAGGTCAGGGCTCCATCACTTCTCATCTGTACTCAGGACAGCCACGCCTCTCCCCTCCATGAGAGAAATGCTTTCTGAAAGAGTCACCAGGAGACTTTGGAGAGATGAGGGCTTAGGGAGGTCCCCCATTCATGTGGGAATCTGGACAAAGGGATGGTGCCTGCTTTCTGAGCTCTGGGATCCTTGTCTGTACAGGGGGTAAGGGTGCCTCTTTTGCACTGGCATTCCAGGATTCCAAAAATGCCCCCCAGCTCTGGAGTCCCCATCAGCCCTGCTCCTACCCCCGCGTCCTCCTCCAAGCTGCAGGCCAGATGGGGGGAGAGACACACTGACCTGGTTTTGATTTCCTCTCCACCACTCATTTGCCATCTGAAGTTGGAGCCAGTGAGGCCCAAACTCTCTGAGTCTCAGTTTCTACCCCTGTGAAATGGGGACAACGTTCCGTACCACACAGGATTCACAGGAGAGCATACTTATACAAGCCCAGGACAGAATCAGTGCCACAAACAGCCGTGGTTATTATGACCAGTCATAATGGGGGTTGCTGAGTCACAGAGTTTAGGGCTAGAGAATCAGCCCCTCGTCCCAGCCCAGCCTCACCCGCTGGTGTCTCTCTTGGTTGCATCCCTTCTCTCTCTCCCCATTCCTGCTCCCCCTTCCTTCCTGGGAAACTCCCCAGGAAAGTCCCCAGCAAAAGAAGGCTTCATGTCAGGTATTTCCATCCAGGGCCCCCACCCCTGCCACCCCACTCCTCAACCACAGCCACCACAGAACCAGGAGACCCTGTCCTTGGCCCCCAACCACCCAACAAGTTGGCCTTCATCATCACACTGGCTTTATTGGCCCTGAGAGCCATAGAGTAAATCCCAGTAGGACCCTGCCTCCCCTCACCCCCAAGTCCAGGGGTCTTAGGGGCTGGCTGAGTGTTCACCACTCCAGTCTTGGCTTCCTGTCCCAGTTGTTGGCTGCCAGACCTGGATCTTTGGGGAGCTCCTCAGATCCTAGTTAGGCTCAGCCTGGAGGGTATAATTGGCAGAGGCCCGGGATGGCTTCACTCAAAGAAGAACATTCCTGGTGTCCGGTATAGGCAGGGGGTCAGCCCCAATGGGTAGCTGGATCCTCCCTGGACAGGGAAGCTACCTGCAACCCAGGGCTCCTTGGAGTCAGCTGGCAGGGGCAGTGGGGCCCGAAGTGAGGCTGGAGGGGTGGATGGTGTGGGGGAGGGGGCTGCTGAGGCCAAGAGGTGCTCAAGGCCTGGGTCAGTCCCCATGCAGAAATTCAGCGCCTGCAGCCGGCACTGGTAGCTGCTTCCAATGCCTGCTTCAGGGGTCAAGATGGGTGTAGGGGCCTTGCTAAAGCCTTCAGCCTCAGAGAAGCCCATAGGAAAGCCAAAAGCTGGGCATGGGGAAGATGAGGTGGCCACAGGGAGCTCCCCAGGGCCTGCTGGCTTGGGTGCAGGCATCTCTTTGGGCTCCGCAGGTGGCCGAGGCCTGGCGTCAGTGGTTGCTGGGCACATGCTGGCTGGCAAGCCTCCCACCAGGCCCCCAAAGCTCAGGCCTTTGGGCTCTGGCAGCTCCGGCAGGAATGGGCACTGCCTGCCAGTCGTGGCATCGGGGACTCCTGGGTCCTGGCTGCTCGCTCTGAGGGGTCCACGGCGTGCCTTGGCAGGGCCCTTGATGCCCTCAGCACCTGCCCGCCGTGTGAAGCGTCGGCGTCGGCGCAGGAAGCTGCCATGCTCGAACATGTCGTGGCAGTCGGGGTCCAGCGTCCAGTAGCTACCCTTGCCTGGCTTGCGGTCATCACGGGGCACCTTGACAAAGCACTCGTTGAGTGACAGGTTGTGGCGGATGCTATTCTGCCAGCCGGGCCGGTTGTGGCGGTAGAAAGCGAAGCGGCCCATGATGTAGCGGTAGATTCCGCTGAGGGTGGCCCGCTGCCCGGGGGAGCTCTGGATGGCCATGGCAATCAGGGCTATGTAGCTGTAGGGAGGTTTGGTCGGCTCAGCCACAGGGCCCAGGGGCCCAGGTGGGGGCTGCTGCTGCATGCTGGCAGGGCTGGCTGAGCTGGCCTGGCTGGCGGCTGCGGGGACTGCAGGGGCCAGGCACAGCGTCCAGGGCTGGTTAAAAGACCCACTGGCCCAGCCTCCCAGCCTGGAAAGGCAAAAAGGGGTGGGTCCGCCAGGCTGCCCTCCCTTCCTCCCTCGCCCCCCTCCCCCAAGGCCCAAGTGGGGCGGGCAGGAGAGGCCAGGATTGGGAAGCTCTGAGCAGCTGCCAGGGGTGAGGAGATGGGAGGGAAGGGCCTGAGACCCTCAGCCCACATGTGCTGAGTGGTGGTGGCTGGGGAGGGACAGGATGTGAAACTGGGCAAGGCAGAGACAGAAACAAGGAGATAAAGGCAGAGAAGCAACGGGATAGAAAGAGTTAAAAAAAGAGAGAGACAAAAGAGAGGCAGAGATTAATGAGAGACAGTAACAGAGAGACACAGAGACATAGAGACAAAGATGAGAGACAGGAAAACCAAGAAATACACAGACACAGACACACACACACACACACACACTATATAAAGAATCACTCAAAGAGGCAAATAAAGGAATCTATAGAGATAGAGAGAAAAATGGACATACAGAGACACAGGTACAGATACAAGAGACTGAGGGGCAGAGAGACACACGGTGAGATGGAGGAGAGAGAATCCAAGGGGCTGAGCTGCAAAGCTGGGAGTCCCCTGGAGAAAAGCCGTGGGGACCTCAAATCCCCACTTCTAGTTCCCCTTTTCTCCTCTTTTTCTCGTGCCAGGCCTGTGATCTTCTTTCTCTCCGCAGTGAAGAGCCCTAGAGGTCACACGATTCCCTGCCCTCCTAGCACAGAGGTATATGCTGGTTGGGCGCCTGGAAATGACGGCTGCCAAACCCGCCTGCTGAGCCCCGGTGCCCTCTGGTGACTGGTGTGGGAAGGACAGCCATCCTGGCAGTGACAGCGGCCTCCCCAGAGGCTTCCCCAGCAAGTCCCTGACCCTGGTTGAGTCTTAGTTTCCCATCTCTAAAATGGACCTGGCAACTCTTCAGCTGTCTAGGCCGTGGTGAGGAGGCAATGGGAGCCCTTATATGGAATCCAGTGGCCTCTGAGAGCCTAGTACACAGTAGGGGTTTGGACATGGCTGAGGTCTACTGCTCTGAACTGAGGCTCCTGGCCAGCTGCAGCCTTGGCCAGGGAAATAGTGACACTCAGGATGGACAGTCAGGCCTCCTGAAGTGGGACAGCCTCCTCCATGCTCTCCCACCCACAAGTAACCAAGTCAGAGGAGAGGGCAACCACTGTGTGTCACTCGCCATGCCAAGCCAGCTCCCGTCCCCTCTACATTTACTTCTCAGACCACCCAGCTCCAGGGGCCTTCATAGTTTCTTTTGAATAGTAAAGAATCCAAGGCTCAGAGAAGTTAGTGATTTGCCTGAGGTCACACAGCTAGTGAGTGCTAAAGCTGGGATTTGAACCCAGGATTCTGTAACTCCCTAATACCACCTCTTCTGTGAGGGGCAGGGGTAGAGGACAGTCATTGGGCTCCCACCGGAAAACAGGCTGTGAACCCCAGAGAGTAGGGACCATGCAGTCTTCCTCTATCCCTTGTGCCCAGCATTAGTGGAACAGAGTAGGTGCTCAATTAACATTTGTTAACTGAATAAAAAAATAGTGATCCAACTGTCTTCTGTCCTTTGTTGAATCATACACTCCCCCCATAAAAATGGCTAATTAATGTATCACTAAAAGATTTATTCTGTTGCCATCTGTAAAAGAATTCCTATAAATAGAAGTCTGAAAAGGAAAAGGCCTGAAATCTGAGGCAGAACACAGTGACTTTACTGACAAAACAGGATCAATTGCCTTCAGGTTCCCTCCCAGTTCTCTAGGACTGTCTACCACTTACAGTTTGCAAAACTGGCTTGGAGAGGGGCTGGATTCCAGGCTCCTGCTGTGGCTTCTGTCTGAGGGCTGTGTTTGGGGGACTGCCTCAGTTTCTCAAAGGCAGTATCTACTGGTGCTTGTGGTTCAGTAGTTAGCCTCCAAAGCCCCACTCTCCCCTGCCCCGTTCAGGCCAAGTCTTCTGTTTTGGGACCCCTCCTCTGGTCACAAAAGGAGAGAGACTAATGGCAGGTGGGAAGAAGAATGTCTCAGAAGGCAGGCCATTCTGTGACTTGTTGGCCCCACACTGAATAACCCTAGGATCTAATGACTGGTAAACCCAGCTTTCAGCAAACCTTATAACGGATTACTTGCAAGTAAAATGGGCTCTAAGTAACAGCCATAAACTTATCGGGCTCTCATCAAGAGGTGAAGTCTTGTTTCTGCAATTGCTGTTTCCAGAACCTCAAGGTCGAAGTTGGTTTCTTCCTTGCACCCCAGGCCCAGCTGCTGGGCAGTGGACCACACGGGGCATTCCAAGCTCCATCCCTGCAGCTGAGGTTGAAGGCCCCAAACTGGCTTCCACTCTCCCACCCACCTTGAGGGACACCCCAGGTCCACTGGCTCAGTTTGGGCAGGGCTGGGATGGAGGCTGACTTTGGAGGGTACAGAGAAGGAAGTGGCCGCTTAGGGCTGACTCGGCTGAGTCAGCAGGTGAGTGATGTCATCAGGGACGCTGCACTGTGGACCTGCCACCAGGGAACCGTGGCTGTGGCGCTTCAGGTGCTGGAGGAGCTCCCTGGCAAAGACTGGCTCTACCTGTGGAGGTGGGTGGGGCAATGAACCAACCCTCTCATTTACCTGCCCTATACATTCTGGTGGGAAGTCACAGCCCTAGTGACAGCTCCCGCCCCACAGGCATTTTACAGCAGGGTTCTACAGACCAGAGGGGTCATCAGGTCAAGGGCAAAGCTGGGACAGGAGAGAGTCAGGGAGGGGCCATTCAGAAGTGACTGGAGGGTGTGGTTCTCCACTGGAGGGGGAGGTGTCTCACATGGGCCATGATGAGCCGCTCCTCGGGCTGGTCTGGGGGCCCTGGGTACTCCTTGCCAAAGCACAAACGGATCTGGTACTCAGGCTCTCGGTCACCATCTTGCAGGTGGGCGCACAGTTCTATGGGCATCAAGACTGTGGGGGCTGGGCCAAGACAGGGCATTCCCACCTGACGCCCACCTGTGCTATATCCCATGTCTACATCTCCACTGTGTGTCCATGCTCTATGCCCACTTCCACATCCCTATGCCTGTCTCGTGTCCCACATCTGTGCTCACTTAAAGTGCTCACGACCCTTACCTGGTGCCCCTATGCTCACTACTATACCTTTCCTTTATGTCCATTCCATCCCCACTGCCACTCCCCTATGCCTATCTTGTGCCCAGTGCCCCTAATGCCCACCCCATGAATAGCGCCCTATACCAACATATGTGCCCAAGCCCTATGTGTATGCCTGGCACCCAATATGCCAACCCTGCCCTTGCCTACACGGTGTCTTCTATCAGTGTCCAGCCATTCTGATGCCCTTGTTGACTCCCATTCCCAGCGCTTGTGTGCCCAGTCCTTTGTTTCGATGTCCACTCGGTGCCCTGAACCCTTAGCCTGTTCCCCTGTGCCCACATTTCACGGGCTCACACTCCTGTGCCCACGGCCCCTGGAGCCCCTTCGCCATGCTCTCACCGGCGAGGAAGCGGCGCGTGTCGAGCAGCTGACAGGTGCGCTCACGTTCCACTTGGTTGGGCTGCACGCGGTGCGGGTCCCTGGCACAGGCTCTTGGCTAATACTCCCTCAGGCGCCACCCACAGCAACACGCTGCGCTCCAGGTGCGGCAGCAGGCGCTGCAGCAGGTGGGCGCCCGGCGGCGGCTCCGGAAGCGAACCTGCGCGACAGGCAGTGGCGGCCCCAGCAGGAGCTCCGCGGAGGCGGGCACAGATGGCAGCCCTTGGCCTTGCGCGCAGTGGCTTCGCCCACCAGCTGGACGCTGTAGAACAGCCGCACGTGCAACCAGCAATCTGAGGGCCGAAGTGGGCGCGAGCACCAGGCGTTGGCGACACCAGGACCCCACCCCCGACAGGGCAGGGGACCCTGTGGTCTTCCCAGCCCCTTCCTCTGGGATTCTAGGAGCTTCTTCCAGCAAATATTTTAATGCTGGTAGAAATAATATTAGTAATAACCTGAGCTGTCAGCACTATACTCAATGGTTAAGGCTGTGGGCTTGCAGCCAGGCCCCCGCATTGTAATCTCTCACTGCCACTTAAGGGCTTTAACTGGGAGAAGCTAGTAACTTTCCCAGGGTTACTAGCTGTGTGACCTTGGGCAAGGTTCTTAATCTCTGTGTCTGGTTTCTGCATCTGTGCAGTGGGGATAATGGCAGTGTCTATCTCACAGGGCAGTGGTAAGAGCTTAGAAGGATACCTGGCAGAGACAAAACTCTCAACAAATGTTAGCTGTTGTCTGGCTTGGGTGCTATGGGTGGGAGACAGAGGCTAGGCCAGCCCAATCCTGGGTCCTCTCCAGTTCTGCACACTGTTCAGAGGGGAGGGCTTTCAGATTTCTTACCAGGGTCACTGAAGAGCTCGAAGGGCAAGGGGCTCCAGGGGTGTGCAGGGTCCTGTGTCCGGGACCCTGGGGAAGGAAGGGATGCAGTTAGGTTCCACCTCCCCCTGGGTCCCTTGATCTCTAGATCAAGGTCCCTGAAGATCCCAGGGAGGAGGTCAGGGTAGGTGGGGAGTAGGCTCCAGGCCATGCCCTCCTCTCCAGGAGAAGCACAAACCCTGGCAACAGGATGGAGTAAGAGACAGCCTGCTGTTTCCTGGGCCCCAAGGGCAACCCCTTCAACCAAGATGATCCCAGACAAGAGGACCCCAGCTCACTGCATGATCTCAGGCACAGCCCATGTCTCTCTGGGCCTTAGTTTCTTCCTTTTTGAATGGGAAGATAAACTGAGTGTCTGAGGGTCCTATGTTTACCAGCCCATGAGTTTAAGCTCACAAGCCCACCATTTCCCATTTTACAGATGGGCAAAGTGAGGTCCTTGTCGAGCCATCCTTGGCCACTACCTCCAGGGGCAGGTTGGTACCTGGGCCACAGGCACCCTCCAACACAATCGGGCAGACCTTGTAGGGGTTGGAAATGTCCAGCTGGCTGCGCTCACGCACCTCACAGAAATCGGCACTCTTGTTGAGGGCACAGCGCAGCCGTGTCTTCCAGGTGGAGAGGTTCTGCTTGTCAATACCCTCTAGGCACTTGCCCTTGTAGATGGCCCAGGCCTGGGGATGAGCAGAGGTACTTGGGGAGGAGTACCTGGGAGAGGGGGCTATCCTGCCTCCCACCCTTCTCTCTCTCCCTCCAACCCTCCGTCCCCTGCCTTCCATCCTTTCCTCTCTTCCTCCCCATCTCCCTCCGTCCAATACATATTCCTTCAACTCTGCGTGCTAGGTGCAAGCGAGGGGCTGGGCATTAAATGTGGAGGAAGACAGACATGGTCCCTGTTCTCAATGAACTCAAGTCTAATGGGAGAAGACAGCTGCAAACAGCTAAATGGAAATAATTATAGTCCAAGTTATGTACTGTAATAAATAAGAAATAAACAGGATGGTGGGGTATAAAACAGTGACAATGATTTGCTATCTGGAAAGCCATAAATGAAACCCCAACCTATTACAACATACAAAGTGGACTCCAGATGATTAAAAAATAAAAAAGTAAGAGGTAAAGTGTAAAATCAATAGAAGATAATATAGGAGAAATTTTTTGAGGGGTAGAAAATTCTTCTCAAACAAGACTTCAAAGGCATGAACTATGGGCCAAAAAAAAATTACAATATCTGCACTCAGCAAGGGCCTAAGATCTAGAACATACAAGGAACTTCTTCAAACCAACAAGAAGCAGAAGTCATCCCCTAAAGAAAAAGATCTTATCAAAGACAAGGATTGGTTTACAGAAGAGGAACCCAGAAGTCCATGAGCATATGTACTTAAACTCATTAGTGTCAGGGAGATGCAAATAAAAATATGAAATGTCGCCTGTAAGCTGACAAAATTTAGTGAGCTGGATAATGCCAGGAATTGGTGGGGATGTGGACACCTAGTGGGCGTGGAATTGGTGTAGAGCTTCCAGATGGTAACCTGGTATGCTTAGTCACATTTAGTATAAACATACCCCATGAGCAGAAATTCCAGTGCCAAAGGAATTCTCACAGAGGCTCACAGGAGGACCACGTCAAGTATACCCAGATCAGCATTCCTTGTGGTACTAGAAAGCAAACTTGTGCCCACCCCTGGGAAAGAGGGTAGGGTGTATTTGTCATGAGTGCTGTGCAGCATCTAGAAGCATCTAGGAGTAGCAAATTACACATACAGAGAACAAGAATAGGTCTTAAGAGCATGACTCTGAGCAAATAAAAAGTTAAGATGTGTATAAGGCAAGAATATCCACAAAACAGCAGGTATCCTTTTTGCAAGAAAGCATGCACACCAAAGATACTCATTAAACACACTAGATGACTGTTTGTTGTAGAGGAACTAACCAAATTGGAAATATGAGGGGCTACTTTAGAGAAGGCAATCAGAAAAGATTTCTTGGAGGAAGTAGCATTTGAGTGGAAGCCTGAATGGAAAGAAGGATGGAGTATGGGAAAACTGTTCTAGGAAGAAGAAACAATAACTGCAAAGATCCTGAGGTGGAAAGAAGTTGCTAGATTCCAGGAAGGCCAGTGTGGCCAGACCAGAGGGGCCAAAGGAGAGGGCAGGAGGTGATGTGTTGCTTGCATACATCACATCCAGGGAGGCATGCCAATGACAGGTCTTACTCAATCACTGCCCTCAGAGATTCCAGGCCTGATGAGAAACATGAACACCAAGCAGAAAAGTCACAGTTCCTGTCTTGGTGATGCTTGCCAGTGATGAGACCTTTGGGGTTTGATTTTGTTGTCGGTAAACCATGCTGAAAATACCCAATCTCATGAGGTTGGTGGGTGTAAGATGAGTACTCTACGGAAAGTGCCTAACACAGCACCTGGCACAGGGTCAGAGCACACCTGTTGCAGTATTTATTCATTATATTAGGGGTATTCTAACCCAAGGTAACCAGGGTACATGACCCAGGATGCTATCAGCATGATGAGAGGAGGATCTGTGTTTTGTTCACTGCTGTGTCCCCAACCACCTAGAGTGATGCCTGGCACACACGGTATACTCAGTATTCCTGGAGTGAATTCAGCTGGGCTTTGAAGGGTGGTAGGAAGTTGCCAGGTGAAGTGACATCCCTGGCAGGGGGAACAGCTTGAGCAAAGGCCTGGAGGTGTGGAAGGGCATAGTTCGTTCAGGGAACATGGAGCAGCCTGCTGTTGCTGGAGCTGGATATGTATGTCTGAGGTCATGTGCACAGCTGATTCTCATTATTTGGGGGTAGTTGTGTTTTAAACAATTTGCACAAACACTGAATTAACAGATACTGAGTCATTGCTCTCTGGGGAAATAAAAGATGAGGTTCCTAAGAGCCGGCCTCTGGTTACACCATTTTCACCAACTGATCAATACATAACCTTGTTTTATATGTCTTTCTGTTTAAGGACACCTTTTCTAATATAAGCTGTTGATTCATCAACATTGAACTCAGGCCCAGCAGCACTGTAAGTCACACCTGAATGTGAATCTGACACATGTATTTTTTCCATAAGACACATCACAGCCTCCCCATGCACAGGAACACTAGACTGTACTTCAGCACTGCACTTGGAGCCATTTTAAGTGTGAGATCACCAAAAAGCACAAAAATATTAAAAAGATGGCACTTTAGACTGCAGAAAGGACACGTGTTTACAGTAGAAGGCAGAGCATCACCTTGATCAGCCTCAGATGGGAATGTGCGCATCTAGTGCCTCCGATTTTGCACTGTTCTGCATATGTCTGTGAATGGCCACAAAAGTGCCTTGAGCATTGATTCTGAGATTACAAATACATTTTAGCAAGTAAGTGAATTTGCAAATATGGAATCCATGAATAATGAGGATTGACTGTATGTGGTTCTGAAAGGGCAAAAGGAATTAAGGAAGAGGACACAGACTGAAGCTGGATCATGAATGTCCTCAAAGGCCAAGTTTTATCCTGTGGGCTTTGGGGCACCAGGAGCACGTGAAGCCAGGGAGTCACATGTGTGTGTCAGTGGTACATTGAGGCATGGGTCTAAGCAGGCAGAGGGACAGGGAGGGCTAGTCCCCAGAATCTCCCTCCTTGGGACAGCACAGTCCAAAAGAACCTAACTACCTGCTGTTCATCACTTACTGAGCACCTTCTGTGGGCCAGGCACTGTGCTTAGTGTCACCACCCTCAAGCAGCTGGAGGGAGTCTGATGGAGGAGATATTCATATAAGGTACTTAAAACTCATAGGGGAAGTTGTTCCAAAGGAGGAAGCAGAAGGAATCAGGGATGGCCTGGGAGAAGCACCTCAGTTGGAGCTTAATAAATACACTAAACAAAGGCATGCATCAGGGAAGGCTCTCTTGAGATGTTTAAGCTGAGCACAATGGGAGTTGGCCAGGTGAAGGGGAAAACAACAGTATTCCAGGCAGGGGAACAGCATGTGCAAAGGTCCAGTGGTGACAGAGACATAAAGCAGTTAGAAACTGAGAGAACTGTCAGGCCAGATCTAAAGTTGGGGAGGGTTGGGACTGGAGAGAGATGAGGCCAGGGAGGTACAGTTCATGCAGGGCCTGAGGCCATGGTAGGGAGCTGGGACTTTATCATGAGGGCAATAGGGAGCCATGGAAGGATCCTGAATAGGGCAGTGCCAAGATTTACATTTAGAAAGATCCCTTTGTAAGACTGAGGGGAGACCTGACGGATGGGGGGAGCAGGGAGCTCAGTGAGGTCGCTGTGGGTGTTCTGGTGAGAGATGGTGGGAATGGATCCAAGTAGATGGGCTGAAGGGAGTTTGTGCCAAGGGCCAGCAGACCTTGGCAATGGAGTAGAATGAAACTAGGAGATAGGGGAGCAGTCAGCGTTCAGGTACCTGGCTCTGGCATCTAGGTGGCAATTGGTGCTGTCTTCCATTCTGGGGAACACAGAAGCCCATGGGGTGAGCTGACGAGTCTGGTGTTAAGGGTGTGCTGAATTGGAGAGGTCTGTGGGGGCCACTTGACACAGGCCTGGGGCATGGCCGGGAGGCAGGGAGCTGTGGGGCCCCCTGCTGAGGCTGTGGAAGGGGGTAGTGGGACATAAGGAAGGAGGTGCAGGAGCGAATGCTGAGGGCCACGAAAGGAGGGGATGGAGGCTGAGAGGCAGGGGCCAGGAAGGCAGAAGGAAAAAATGGGTGGCAGGAAGGCAGAGACTCTGGAAACCAAGTAAGAATGTTCCAAGGAGGAGGGACGGGCCACTAGGCACAGACCAACCAAGTCAGAGAAGATCATGTTGGCATTCTTGGATCTGGAACTGAGAGACAGGAGCAGCAGGGACAGAAGCCAGACAGACGTGAGGAATCGGGAAGAAGGAACTGGGGAGCTATGGGTGAGGGAGTTCATGCCCAGTAGACTCTTTCCAGATGCCTCACCCTGTGGATGGAGAGAGGGCCCAGAGAAGTGGGAGCTGGAGGCCGGGGCGTTTGGGGTGCTGGCCTGATCTGCGTTGGTTACTTAACGCTCATGGGACAGAGTGCAGAGATTAAACGCTGATGGGAAGGAGCCGGTTTGGAGGAAGTTAATGATGACTGAGGAAAGGGAAGGCATCCCTGGAGGAGGTCCCCGAGAAAGGCTGATATTGGAAAGCAGATAATGTCCCCAGGCTGCAGGGGTTGGCGGTTTGAGGGTGGGAAGTTGAGGGAATTCCCATCAGTGGCATCTAATTTCCCCGTGGAGAGGCCCCCTGAGAGGTTGGGGGGGTGCCGCCAGTCTTGCAGCCCGGCTGAGTCTATTTGAAGAGGGTATCTGAGCGTCTCCCATATATGAACACTACTCACAACCTATAGACAACTGAGGCCCTGGACCAGCACGTCGGTCTGCGGGGACGCTGGGACCTGGCGCACCCAAAGCGCTCTGCGGCCCCGCCGTCTTACCCTGAAGATCACCGCGTCCTGCCGCGCCTGGTAGCCCTGCTTGGCTGCGTGCTTCCAGCGGATGCGGAAGACTGTCATGCCCGCGTCCTCCCAGCGCGACCCGGCGTAGCCCCCACTCTCGATCTGAGCCACTAGCCAGTCGCGGAGGCGCAGGGGACCCTCGGCCTCCGCCATCGGCCTCCTGCCGTCGGGGACCTACGCCTCCTCTCTCCGCCAGGGGTCGCCGGTCCTCGAGGACGCAGTGCCGCGACGGCTGCACCCCAGCGCGACAGGGGAACGGGGACCCCCTGGATGGCGAGGGGAGGCGGCGAAAGCGAAAGTCTGGGCAGGCCGGTTTCGCTTTCCATTCCGCCCCGTCTCCGGGAAGCCTTTCCTTTCGCCCCTCCCCGTGATGGCCCGGCCAGCAGGGCGTCGGGCCTCCGACAGCGAGACAGCTAGAGGCACAGTGGGACGCCAAGACCCACTGGAGGGTAGCCCGGGTTCTGCCCGTCCCTAGCGGGGGCCACAACAAGCACCCAGCGGCAGCCGCATCCCTTCCCCTGTTCTGTGCTCTTGCCAGCCTACCAGAAACTTGTCTTTTCAGGAACTGGACTGCAGAGGCTGGAAAGGCATGGTACTTCTCTGACTCCCATCAGAACCGGGAAACAGAGACTAATTTAAAAGGCACACTCCTAGCCTCCGTTCAGGCCTGCAGAATCAGGTTTTCTAAGGAGTTCCCTCATGCGATTCTGATCCAGGTAGTCCATGGGCCAGACTTGGGGAACTAGTTCCTTAAATACTGGGAGTCCCCATTTACTGAGTGCTGGGCCTGGTGGAATCCTTTCCTGTGGTGTCCCAGCAGTCTCAAAGCAGCATGTGAGATGAGTATAATTACTCATTTTATCATTCGGAAGACTGAGGCTCAGAGAGGTTAAAGCCCTGTAACAGGGGCAGAGAGCTAGTATGTTGGACCTGAACTGTGTTTCTCTGCCCCCAGAACCCAAGAGCCTAAGCAGAGCACCGCACTGCCTCCCACAGCCATATCTGGCATTCACGGACTCCTGGTGAGGTCCGGCACCCTCCCCTCACAAAGTGCATGCAAAGTTTTTCATGCCTACGCATTTTTCTAGGGTTTGTATCTTTCACTAAATTGTCAAAGTGGGGTTGGGACATGAAAGAGGTCTAGTAGTTCAGACTGTTCCACCCCTTGCTGTGTACATGGAGAAACTGAGGCTCCAAGAGAGAGAAACCACCCTTCACTGCCTAGGGCACAGAGCTGGACACCCAGCCAGCCAGCAGTGACCAGAGGCTGTAGCACCATCCCTCATGTGTACCTGTCGGGGGACCTTCTTCATGCTCTCTACCGTCTGTCCTCAAATACCAGCAGCCACCTTTCTGACACTTCCAGTCACACCAGGATTCAAATTCAGACCTGTAGGGCTCCAGTGGGGCACAATACACTTCATATGATTAAATACAAGAGTGATAATTATGTCTAAGCAGGGGTCTTGAGTGTGACAAGCAATCTCTTCATTTTTCTGGGTGGCAGAGTCATAGTGATTAGGGTCCATAGTCAGACTGCCTAGATTCAAATCCCAGCCCCACTATTTGCTAGCTGGGGCCCTTGGACACCAATCTCAGTTTCCTTATCTGTTAAACAGCAACACCTGTTTCATAGGGTTGCTTGAAGGTTAAATGAGATGAGGGTTAAGTGCTTAGCACATTGTCTGGCCAATAATGAGTGCTCAATAAATGAGTGATACTATTATTGTATTTGTTGAGTCAGAGTGTGGTGAAAGCAGAGATGAAAGTGGGGGAGCATCATGAAGGGCCTGGAACATCAGATCAAGGTGCTTTGCTTTGCCCTACAGGTGATAGGGCCATGTTGGTTTTTAAAAATACAGGGAGACACCAGCAGAAGTAGAAAGGTGTTTTAAACCAGACAGCTGGTGGTGCCACTAATCAGCCAAGAGAACCACAGACACCCTGCACTCTGGTGGGTCTGGCCACCTTGCTCTTCACAAATGATCCTACCTCAAGGCCTTTCACTGACTGTTCCCTCTGCCTGGAATGCTTCCCCCACAGATAGGAAAAGGGTTAACTCCTTCACTACCACCCATTTTCTTTTATCTGGTGTCTTTCCCATTAGAATGTCAGCAACACGAAGGCAAGGGTTTTTCTTACTGCTGTATTCCCATTGCCCAGCACAATGCCTGCTGCATGGTAGGTATTCAACAAGCATTTGCTCAATGAATACAGAGTAGGTTGGGAATCAGGTGAAGGTCATCCCACCCCCAACGGTAGAATCTGGGCCTCCCCTACAGCCCTGAACACAGGCTTGGTACATAATAAAAAACCCATTCAGGTGGGCATTAGATGAAGCTATTTCAGACTCCTCTCAACTCCCAAGTTAATTGTAGTTTGTGAAAGATCAGGCTCTGGTGACCTCTGTTCATTTGGAGTCAGTTGGCTGATTTTTTTTTGGCTGCCCTGAGGCTCTCCCACCTCAGTGGCTGCTCAGGAGTTTAAATTCTAGGTGGGAAGGGTGATTCACACTAGCTGGGGTGGGTTACTCCTCACCAGTAACCTCGGAGACCAGGAGGAACTGCTGCTTAACCACCCTGGGAAACAAACTTGCTAGGTTCAAATCCAGCCTCCCCTATCTTAGCTGTGTGTCCTCGGGCAAGCTGCCTGATCTCTCTGAACCTCAGTTTCCTCCCTGAGAATTAGGTGAACTCCTGCATGTAAAAAATAAGGCAGGAGGGAGGCATACTACTATATCTTATTAGCTAGTATTTGCGAACAGGGAAGGGAAAGGGGCTCAGGGAGGGGGAAGAGGTCCAGAGAGGAGGGTTCAGAGACCTTTTCAGGACACCAGGGCTCCAGGGAGGGATGGGGTAAGGGTCAGGGAAGTCGGAGTACTCTTAGAATTCAGCCCTGAAGACTGCAGTTTCTTTAGGGTAGCAGACTCCTCAGGTCCCAGGGGATGCAGACCGCCTCCCATCTCTGGGCCCTCCAGGCACCTGCCCCTGCAGTGTCCTGCTGTCCGGTACCCACCTTTGCAGAATGATTGACAAGTGCTCGGACAGGCAGCTTCTGTATCTTTAATATCCCCCAGGCCCATTCCAGTCCCCACTCACCGACCCCCTCCCATTCCCGCTGCCTTTAAAGGGTAGAGACCCAGGTGCCCCTCTCCCTGCCCCAGGACTAAGGCACCAGGTGGCTGCAGCAGGCCAACCCAGACACGGAGACGCACAGACGCAGGACACACTGCAGACGCAAGACAAGCGAGGCGGGCCTCGGGGGCGGGGGCAGGGATCTGGCCGCCGCGGGGCTCCCAAGGCTCTGGACCTGTCCCGGAGACCTGGGAGAGCCAGACAGCCCTCGAAGGGGACCAGTCGCAGGGGCAGGAGAGTGCGGCCGGCTCCTCACTTGCCGCCTTTGAGGGTCAGACACCGCGGGAGGCAAGAGAAAGCCTGCTTGACGCGCGCCAGCAGCGGCAACGGCCGGTGGGCGTCCCGGGCGGCCCGCGGCACCAGGCGCTGCAGGGTCCCCTCCGACGCTGAGGAGTGCGGCGCGGGCGAGGCGGCCGGGGTCGATGGGCTCTGCCGGCAGCGCTTGCTCAGCGGCAGCAGCGCGCGCACCTCGTCCTCGTCGCGGAAAGGGATCTCTCCGAAGCGCTCCACCAGCTGCCGGCGAAGCTGGGGGGAGGCGGGGGCGGAGACGGAGACGTCGGGAGGGGGCGGGTCGGCGTCGGATCCTCACAGCGTCCTCCCAGTGCGAGCCTCCGGCGCCTCGCTAAGCCCCTCCCCTTCCAGAGCATCCTCAGCCTTCCTTCCGAGTTTCCATTCCCCTCATGGGCCCCCTGCCCCGCTATGAGTTCCCTCCCTTCCCCTGAACCCCTTCCCCTTGACACTCCATCTTTCAGGCCTGCTAGAGCCACCCCCCTGCACAGTGGGGACCACGTTAGCCCCGCCCCACTGCACAACCACTCCACTCACGCAGGGGCTCTTCCTTGCCTGGCTCATTCATAATGCAGCCTTGCAGATAGGCCTCTGGGTGCTAGCCTGCCACCTGATGAGAGCTTTCCTACACTTGATGCTTTTCTCTCTGCCTCTCATCCCTTATTCCCAGGGAGCCTCAGTTCCTGGCATATCCATATGCCCTTTGCCCAGTGGGCATAAGAGAAGGAACTGCTTTGGCCTCATCAAGGACCCAGGGGTGAAGCAGGGGTTAGGCATTTCTCCCCAGAGGGGCCAAATGCTCAAATGCCTTCAGGTTCCAGGCCAGTAGAGCAGGCGGTGCTGGGACCTGGCCAAATAGAAAGATCCTTAGTCTGGCCCAAAGGCATTCAAATTCTAAATAAAAAAGGAAAAGAAAACAACTGGCTATCCAAACAAAATAACAGGTAAGGTTAGATTAGCTCAAGGGCTACAAGTTCGAGACCCTAGAAAAATCTGCCAGGTCTGAAGCATGGGCTAAACTGTTTCCAGTCAGTGCTCAGCTCAAGTGGAAAGAAGTCTCTCACCCCTGCCCCAGCCTCTCTGCCCAGCCCGTACCTTCCGGGAACTGCCCCAGCCAAACTCTTCAAGCTGCTGCCTGAAGCCCGGGTTGGGGTTGGCGATGGGCCGGGTGGCCTTGATGGCTTCAAGCACATCCCTCCAGCCAAGCCCCGTCACTGTCATCACATATGCCGTCACAATGGTTGTACTTCGGGAGATGCCTGCAAAGCTGGGATACCACCCCCCAAGGCTTAAGGTAAGGCCCAAATTTCCCCCATGTCTCCCCGACTCCCCATCCCCACTTCACCTCTCCCACCTTTGTCTTCTGAGCTCCAGCCATAAGGAACCTGCCAGGACCTGTCTTCCCACATTTTCAGGTCTTTGCCCATGCTGTTCCCTTTGCCTGGAATATCCCCTCTTTCACATCAAAGGCCTGAGTGAAACATCAGCTTCTTCATTCATTCAACAAACATTCCCTGATATCCTGTTATTTTTTCAGGCACTGGGTATATAGTGCAGAATAAAACAGACATGGTCCCTGCCATCCTGAGGCGTCCAGTATGGTTGGGGGAGACAGACACTAACCAGGGAAACAAATTTAGGTGGCAATAATCGCTTTGAAGATGAGTCCAGGGGTTAGGAGATCCTATAAGAAGAGGCACTGATCTAGTAGAGAGGCTGGGGAGGGTTAGGGAAGGGGTTCCCAAGGAAGTGACATCCAGCTGAGTCCTGAGAGCTGTGTAAGGGTTAGTTGAGAATGTTCTGGGCAGACCATGAGGTGGGAGCCCATGGATTTCAAGAAGGGGGAGATGGCCAGTGCAGC